TTAAAAATATATATATGAAAACAAATTTTTTAAATTTTAAATTTTTATTTAATATAAAATTTGAAAAAAAAAATAGGTGGAAGATGAAATTCGAAAATAATTTTGGAAAAAATGTGTGAAAATTTACGGGGGGTATTTTTGAAAGAAAAATAAAAAAATGATGGTCAAAATACAATTAAGAAAAAATGTGACACGTAGGATGAATCGGAGCTTACTATGTGGCAAGGTATGCTGACTCGGTGTCATGTGAGAGGTCATGCTGGCAATCTGCGTACCTGTAATCGGACAGCTCGGGTGTGTTTCCGCGCGCGTGAACAATCCGAATCCATTTCTTCATAAGACACGATTGGACGATCGCGATTAAATGCGATAAACAGTTCAGATTCATTCCCTCTTTAAACACGATCGTACGATCGAGATTAAACGCGATGAACGGTCCATATTCATTTTTTCTTTAAACGTGATCGAACAGTCGAGATCAAACTCGATGAACGGTCCAGATTTAAGGAAGACGAATGTAAATATCTCATTTTACACCGAACTCAAACCCTAACCATTAGTCCCCCACCAGACAAGAAGAACAGGTCACTGGAGAAGGGAACCGACCGCCGCCTGTCGTCGCGCCAGAGCCACCTATGATGGCTAGAAAAGATAAAAATTATCCTATTCGCTCAGAATTTGATTTTGAACACCCATATGGCCAAATCGGAGTAAAAGAAACAGTGGATGAGCCAGAAACCACGGGTAAAGTCCGGCGGCGTTGCCACATGAAAAACCAAAGATCGTCTCCAATGAGCAATTTCTCGTTTACCATTTCGTGCAATTTTTTCACCATTGTATTCGCCATTATGTTTTTTACAAGTTGACTGAAGAAAAACACCAAACCACGAAGGTGAGCCAGTAGAGCCACCACAATAGAAAATCTTGTCGCCAGTAGGTTTTTATTTTTCAATTTTTTTTTGTCATTCGATGCCCCTTAATGTGTTTTTTTCGTAAGTATGGGTATAAAATCAGTCGAAACTAGTCGAAAATGGCTAGTCTGAGGCAAATTGTTGTCGCGGGCGGCAGTGCCATCGCTGGAGCGCGGTAGCGTCGCTATGCCAGAATTTTAAATTTAGCCAAAAAAAGGATTTTAACACTGATTTTGGGTTTTTTAGGTACGTGAAGCTTATTTTTACTTCTGTACGAACCCGGGTACCACCAGTAGACGCAGCTAAACGTTCGATATTTCGAACATCGATTCGAGTAAGAATCCCTCACTTTATTCTATGTTATGAATTGAAATCTAATTATAAATAATACGATATTTTGTGTAATTTATAAAATTTTGATAATTAATTACAGGTTAGTAATAGAATCGGAACTAATTATTTATTACTGTTTGTCTTGTTTTAACTGATTTTTTGATTTTACAATTTTAAATATACGATAATACACTGGAATTTGTAAGATGATTCAGTTGTGTTTTCTTGATGCATGTATTTTTTATTTTGCGTAATTTACAGTTAAATTATAAAACTAAAAATTAAATGTAAACGAGAAATTGTTTGGTTAAGTGAATTAATGAAACAGTTGTTTTACTGGATATCTTAGGAGATGGTGAACGAATTGGGTACGTAGGAAATTCTACCGTGAACGTTACCTCATACCTGATGAGGTATCAATGAATGGTATTTTTGGCACTTATACTGGACGAGATATGGGGATGACCCGATTCACCCTCATACTTGATGAGATATTAAGGGATGGTACTTTTGGCGCTCATACCGGACGGGGTATGGGGACTGCCGATTAGTTGATAAGTTTTGTTATGGGTTCACACATGGTGGGACATCCCTATGGATCCCCAGAGATACCAGTAAGCAAATAAAAAAGGAAAAATTGTTGTTCTAGTTAATTGAATACGAGATTATGATGTTGTTTGTGTTATTGTCTCTATAGATCAGTTTTGGAAAGCTCGCTACAATAAGTATGCAATAAATAATTTCATTTATGATAAATGAATTTACTTAATTTAAGAGCTATATTAGTTGTTTTTATGATTTTTACCAACTTTCATTTCTGTATCGGTGAGTAGTGTGATATTCTTATTGGGTTAATATAGCTTACCATTTCATTAAGCATTTCAGATCAAGATGACCAAGATCCAGATTATGATCAATAATGGGGTTGTGAATAGTTCACCACCCGAACTTCATTGAAAAGCTAGTGAAGGTTGTCATTGGATACCTAATTATTTACTTTTATTTATTTCTTGATTTTTCGCTTATTCTTTTAAAATGTTCATTCTCGTAACTCTATTTGGTATTCTAAATTATTGTGTAAGGAATGTAAACCCTAACTCTATTATTTCGTTTCTACATTCAATTCATGTTTTTATCTTCTTTTCAAGTTTTGGGGCGTTACAATATAAGTATTTTGTTTCACTATCCATACTCCATGTTCCGTCTCTTTTACACGTTACACTCGGAAGAGGGCAGCTCTGGTCCAATTTCCGGTGCTATATCATCTGTAAATGATAAATAATGAACATACACAAGCTCAGTAAAATAAATTTAAATCATAAACATAGCATATAAATCCAGTTAAATGCCTACTCTCCTAGGTCCCCACTTCCATTAGCACGCCATCGTCCCTACCCACACTCTTTTCCTCTTACTCACTTACCCTTATTGTAATTAGAACTCTCATTGAAGAAAATCGTCAACTCTTACCGTTTCTTATCACATGAAGTCACCACAATAGACCACACAAACAGTACCAAACGTACATGTCCACTCGACCTTAAACCGACCACACACCCACACTATTACTCCCCAGATAAAGTCCCCCAGCCATCACCAATATCGGTGACCCATTTACTCCCTTTCTGCCACTTCTCGAACCCCAATTGGCATCCACTCACACTG